TGTTTTGTTTTTATAACTAAGGAAATCAAATTAACAATGTGTATCTCCAAATTCTGCTCACCACAAGCAACACAGATGCAGACATTAAAGAAAACTTTTGGGTCTTTTCCTACTTGGCTTCTTTCTCCGTGAGTATGGTGTGAAATTCAGCATGTTTTGTTTCTCTCGGCTCCAAAAGTGCTGAGGCAATTCCTTTTGTGAGGACAGTCAGGAGTTCACTGATTCTCGCCAGTGTTTTGGGGGGAAACGCCAGTCTTTGCAGGCACCCTGGGTGTTTAAGCTGTCTGGGGACTCTGTTTGATCAGAGCAACCTGTTCTTGAACGCTCCCCCTCGGTCACGGTAGATTGGATTTAAGCTTCCTTGGTGGAGTTGGACTTCTTCCTGTGGAGGTCAAGGTTGTCAGATGCTGAGCTTTAAACTTGGTGGTTCACTGCGTGGTACTAAGTGATGAGTCCAGGGGTGTAGCTTGAGCCCCTCAGTATTGCATAATAGGGTTCTGTGATGAATAACGTTAGCATTTATCTGATCAGAGATTATTTAATTTCATCAATTATCGTAAATAACCAATAAATATCAAGTTTCCTGTATGAAGTCCACAATAATCATTTTTTTTGTGGGCCTCTGTTCAGGTGATGAGGATTTTACTTCCACAGCAGTGTGTCACACATGGTTGCTCTCTTGCATCACCTTCCTCCTCGATGTTATCGCCAGACTTGCTGGAAAACAGACCAGTGGTAATGAGAATTTTAATTTTGTTTATAGATTCCCCTCCACCATACACAAAGGTTTTACATTTTCATAGCACCTTCACTGTCAGATTTGTTTATTAACAGAATTATTGTCTTATAAATGTGTGAAAATTTAAAAGACAAAACCCTGATATTGGTCCCCTTGAAGAGCAGTTTGAATCCATCTCTGACTCAATGAAGAAGACATTAACATTGATCTGGGTGCCTGTCACATTCTAGTTAAACGTCCTGAATGTGGCTGCTGGGAAAGCCCGTCTCAAAGCGTGCGGTCAGCTCTTGATATCTGGTTACGAGCTGGATTCACACCAGTAAGGTGGTGAAGCTGCAGCAGGGCCTGTTTCTCTGGAGGGCCTAATGAATAATTAAGAGGCGGGGCTTATGTGAAGAAGTCCATTAAGATGCAGAGTCACACCGGTCTCCATGGTAGCAGGGCCATATTATCAGGATCACGTCTCCTTTGGCCAGGCAACAGGCGAACTTGCACAGTCTTAGTCTGGGAGAGGATGTACATTGACAGGAAGGAGAAATTTCACTTTGCTGGATGAGGGTTTGAAACGATCTTTGAAAATAAACCTGTGAACGTCTGTGCTAAATGGAGGGCTGTCACAGGATCAGAAAAAGGTGGGCTTAGTTTGGCATGAGGTCATCTTGAGTCTTAATATTTGTAAAATGTTTCTCCATCCGTATTGACTGTTGTCGTGTGACGTATGTAAGATTAGTCAGCAACAATTTTGATATTAAATTCATTCATTAAAGGCATTTTTAAAGGAAAGATGAATTGGTTCCAACTCCTAAAAGGTAAATAAGTCCCCCTTTACACCTTGCATTAAAATGTGTCTTGTATCCAGATTGTATCTGGATACCTGATTATATTTACACCTGGTATTAATATGTGTCTCCAGTGTCCACAGTTGAGTTGAGTTGATTGATTTTCAGAGACAATATTGGTGTAAAAATATAATATAAGTGTTATAAAAAATTCTTTGCTGGTCCAAAGGTTTTTTTTTGTTATATACGTCAGAGCTAGTCAGGAAGATGTAGGAGGCAACAGCAAGGTCAGTGAGGAAGAAACAGGCCTACTTCATTGTAAAGACAATGATTGACAGGGAGAATTACAGATGAGGGGGGCACCCCGGTAGTGTTTGCGTCAGAGATGAATCGACTGATCATTGCAGTTCTAAAGTACAGATGTGAAAGGGACCTGAAAGATGTCGCCACCAGAAAACTCTGAAGTTACCTGAGTGTTAGAAGTCAAGCTCTATTTATATTCAGGAGAAAAATGGATACTTTTTCAAAGTCGATCCATAATTGATGGCCAAAGCTACATCTAGAGCATATTTGACTACTTTCTGTGGTTATGCAACAAGCTCTTAGTGTATGTTATTTCAGTTCAGGAGAATGCTCTCTCTTTTAGACCTGGAGTAATTGCCTGGAATTAATCTAGACCTCCCTCAGCCTGCTTCACCTTCATATACTACTGCCTGAACTACACTTTAAAGGAAGTTATTTTCAGCTCCAATCACAGATGCAAAGGAAATAGACAGTCTTTACCTCGTCCAGCCATCTGGCCTGGTCTTAACAATTCAGCATGTGACAGGACAAGGGCAAAGGTTGTGTGATTAGGACTCCGCTGGAGCGATATTAAAGCCTGAGGTGATTATTTTGACAATGACGGGATATCATTGTTTATTCTAAATCCCTGCGGCTTTACCATAAACCAGTTACGTCTGCAGGGAAACACAGGGGAAATAAACCAAGTGCCTGTGACAACATAGATGAATACCTCTCATTGATCCACCAGGACCTTCGAGATACATGTGTCTTAAACATAAAATCTCTTGTCACACCTTCGAAACATTTGATCTCTATTCAACTTATCACTACTAAAAAGCAATCAGCTGCACTAGTAAGATATTATAAGTGTATTTCATGTAGATCAATTAGTTTCTCACTACAACATTAATTAGTCTTTACTGTTGTTCACCCAGATTTAGTTAAGGCTCTCTACAGTGCTAAGATATAAAGCTCATCAGTGTAACAATTAAGATCAACAGTTTTCATTAGGAACACAGTGTGAGAACTGTCAAACAGCAGCCAGGAAACCTAATGAAACCAAATCTGCTATTTTAGAATCGAAATTCACTTAGAAAATAAGCATAATTTGCTTATTCCTGCCTTTTTTCAGTTGTGATTTTCTTTTTCCGTCTGTTGCAGTTATCGTATCCATCTTTTAAAATATGTTTTTGTTATTTCCTAGCCGGGGAACAGAACAGCCCTTCCTCTTTTCATGTCTGGCTTGGCGTATCAGTACGACAGTGTGGTCGATACTAGAAACTGAAAAAGAAATGCAATTTCAGAGCTGAAATTTCAGCTCTGTTGTCCCTAACAGGAAAAAGTCCTTTGTAGCAGATTTGGGAGGACAGGGATTCCTCCCAGGCTTGAATGATTCAATTGTTTCTGTCTTCAGCACCTGTTGAAACGACAGGGTTTTGTGCGCTGCTTCTTCCCCCAACTATGAAAAAACCATTCAGCAGGTTGTTACGTTATCATCTCAAGTTGCAAAGGGTCATATATTCTGCAACCTTAGCTGGCAGTCAACACAGTTTCACTGGGCTGTTGCTGCTGAGAGCCAGAGGGCTCCCTGCCAGACAAATTAAGGTCCTGAATTAGAAACCAGAAAGTAATTGAGAGGAGATATATGCTCTGCTGGGGGCTGAATAGCTGCATCGCCCCCTTTCTCTACAGCTTATAGAACACTGCCTGTGATTGGAAGGTTTCCTAACAAAGGAGTGATGTTGCGTGATCAGTTTCAGTCTTAAATAAGATGTATTGACACAGGAAATCAGGTTAGACAGGCTGAGAATGTGTGTATTCAGAAACTGAAGGGGTCGAGTCATTGTTCTGTGTAGGTTTTCGCTTGTGCATCCTACAGCGATGCACCGCAGGGTAATCTGAGCAGGGCTCCTCTCCGATAAGCAGCCCCAAACCCTCCCATCCTCGTCGGCGCCCAACTAGCGAGCGCTGCCAGCCTTTTCCTGCCCTCCTCCAACAGAGTCCCAAGCAGTGAGAGACATCCGATGTTATCAGCACTGCAGCACTACTGCCAAGGGCTTGTCTCATGAATTCACAGTGCAGTGCAGAGATTTTTTTCTCCCCACCGAAAGCCTCGTTTTGCACACATCACAAAGCAAATTAGAGTTAAATGTAGAAAAAAGGAAACAGGAATTTGCATTTTTCCTTGTCTTCATTTTAGACAATACAGTATTCATCCCTGCTTTGTTAAAATGTATAAAAAGATCTGTCTGAGCCTTTGCCTTAAATGACTGAACAATTATGGTGTGTCATAACCTGCTGTGAGATTCCAGCCCTGTTGGAGGCTGCTCGCAGCTGTCTCTGACCTATTTATGAAGCTGATGGATGTAAGGTGAAAAGAGCCTTTTGTGTGGCTGCCTTTTGTGTTCCTTGGGAAGGTGCTGATGATTTTCTGCCGACAGCTGAGTGCTGATATAACCATCTTTGCTGCGCCTCGTTCCGAACGCCAACTGCTTAGATTCATGAAAAATACTCTGAATAAGAGATCAATATATGATTGAAATATGGACTGGTGAAGGAGTTTTGGTTGAGTTCACTGTATTATCGGTGCTCACAGTGTTGCGTCCACGGAGGCGGCCGCGGTCCTGACCTGGTTAGAGCCGCTTTGAAACAGCACAAGAAAGCCGCAGTTCAAAAGCAAGGCTGCAGAAATCCCCTCCCCACACTTAGCCTCATTTACAGCTACAGTGGCTGAATGCAGATGAGAGAACATCTAACATCTTTTCCTTTTGGCGTGATTGTGCTGGAGAGATTTTTTTTTTGTTGCTTCATGCCTAAAGCCAGAGGCATTTATTTAGTTGTGCACAGATTGCCTTGAGGTTTTCAGAAAGACTTGTTGAGCTATTTAAAAGCTCCACATGTGCTGCGGGGCAGTTTCATTTTGCGTTATGGGCAAAAGTTTGATGGTTTTGGCCAAACGACTTATCATTGGCGTAGTTGTGTGCAATCAGAAATAGATAGAAAATAGCATATGATGTCATGTTTGGCTACTGAGGTTATACTTTTCCTATATTTAATTCTATTTTTCACTCATACTTAGTGTTTCCTGTTTTATTTTGTTACTCTCCTCTCCGATCATTTCACTTCCTGCCCTTATGTGTTTCAGCCAGTTTTGATTGGCTGCCTTGCCCTGATTAGTTTCATCTGTAGTCAACTCACTTCACGCTCACCTGCTCTCACTTTCCTTACTAGTCTTTCCCGACCTGCCCAGTTACTTTGTTCAGTTCGTCTTCATCTTTGCTTTGGAGCTCTGTTCCTCCTGTGCTTGCCTGCCTGATTTTTGGGACTCTAACCTGTAAGCCTTTTTGAATTAAATCTTTGATGTCATCGTGCTGCCTTCTCTTCTGTTGTCTGCTACCTGCCCTCCAAGATGTGACATTTGTTACTACAAATACGTGTCTAAAATAAGCAGTACATAGCTAACGGCAGCTTTGAAGGGTTGTACATCGCGTGATTGACACTGTGGAACATGCACCAGTGAGGTACACTGACTTAAAGTTACAGCAACAGGAAATGGTGAAGAGCTTGTGGTTTATTCACCAACGGTTTGTTCAACTCTGGCTGCATTTACACCTCATTTCAACTGTTTTGTGTCCAGATAAAATTCATATTTGACTTAAGATGCTTTCATATGCGCTGAAGTAAATAACAAATACTTCCACTGCAGGGTAAAAATTGTTGAAATAGCTTGTGACATGACCTTGGACTTGCATAACTTTTGATCGCTGTATTCCACCATTTTCTTTTTAGAGGTTTTGTAGACTAAATGACAGGTTAATCACTGATTAAAATAACTGCTCGCTGTAATTTATTTGACTATTTCACCTTGACCCTGACCTTTTGCCTCCTACAGATGTGTACTTAAGTGGGAGTAAATGAGTAAAATCTTGTGTTCATTTACACATGCTCACCCACACACACACACACACACACACACAGAGACAATCCAAGACGGACAGCTTCCTACCTTTGTCTAGCAGAAAAGCCTGTTTGTCAGTATTTGGCAAAAACTGAAATGTAATAACAGAAAAGGCACATATTTAAAATTCTGTTTGTGTCCCTGCTTGTCAGTGAGGAAGATAAATTGTAGGCTATCCAAATGTTTATATTTTGAGGGTACTATAAACCGTCTTGCATAAATTCCATACAGCCCCATCAATCACAGAGATCACTTTGTCTGGGTGAGACGAGGCTGTTCTGTGTGGCCTCTCTTTCATGAGAAGCATTAAACTTTAAATTACTTTTGAAGAGCTTATCTTGTTTTTAGCCAGTAGCTGCAAGTATTCTTGCTTAAAGTCTGTATTGCTTTCACGTCAGAGATAATTGATAGCACCAGACTGTTTACACTTAATTCTCCTTTTGAAAGAGACGATTTTATTTGGATGTGGCCCTGCATACGTGTTGTTTTCCATGTGTAAAAAATCTGAAGGGATGTAATATTGACAAAACAAGGTGAGAAGTTTTTTCTGCTGCCTGGCTCACTGAACTGTATGAGTTTGATGTGTCACCATCCCGCATGCATACCATTAGAGACTCCACACACAGCGACCTCCAGTTCAGATACAGTGTGCCTCTGTGATGTGTGGTCTGCTGCAGTATAAACCGGCTGCCGTGCTTAAAGTCACAGCCTGGAGATTTGCACTACACTCACGTCTTACCTCCTGTTTGGTCACCTATTCAGGCCTCATCCCTCATTCTATAAAACCTTTTTGTATGAGCTTTATGATGCCTACTTGCACTGTTTTTCTGCAGCTGTAATGTTGCACAGACATGCTTTATCACCTCTAGTGTCTGGTCTTTGGCTGTCACCCTTTGAGAATCAATTGGTACACTGCAGAATCCAAACTCACACCTTCTGTATGTCGGCTCTGCCTCAGTGGAGTGTTACCTGATATAGCAGGACATGCTATGTTTCTGCGTGAAAGAAAGGATAAGCCATAGGACACTGTTATTTTATGGTCTTGGAACTTGTTATCTGCTTTTTTTTTCATTATTAATTCAGTTTTTCCAGTTTTCTCTGAGTTATGGCTAACACTGCTGACTCACTGTCCAGTGATCAGTGCCTTTATTGTGATCAAGTACATGCTGGATTGGTTTAAGAGAGGAAACTCCCTCATTGTTATTATCTCTCATCATCTCTTTCCTCTCTGTCTTTTCTGCGGCAGGATGCAACAGGTTGGACTCAGTCCACTGAGATGCTACTGAGCGATGGGGATGGGTCAGAGAAGGAAATCACGCCGGTGAGGCAATCAAGCCGAACGCCAGCCCCCATAAACCACTGCAGCTACACCGAGTGACGCAGCCATGCCCCGCCTGCCCTCCTGATTGTCGTCCCCGACCTCTGCACCTTCCCTTGGTCAAATCAGTCACAGCAGCCCCAGCAACTCCCCGTCAAGTCAGCATGGCTACACCCTTTCTGTGGAAGCTGTCGTCCCAGAAGCTGGGCTTTTTCCTGGTCAGCTTCGGGTTCATCTGGGGCATGATGCTGCTGCACTTTACCATCCAGCAGCGAGCCAGCCATGAGAACAGTGCCGTACTGAGGCAGCAGATCCTGGACCTCAGCAAGCGTTACATCAAGGCCCTGGCTGAGGAGAACCAAAGTGTCATGGATGGGCCATATGTGGGTACCATGACAGCTTATGGTGAGTAGCCAGCTCTCTTGCTGCAGTTTATGTAACCTAGAGGGGGCGTGCCTCATAGAAGAATAGCTAGAAATGCTTGACGTCAGGAGGATCAGGACTTGCAGGATTATTCTGCTAATATCATTGCAAAATTAATGTAGTTATTGATGCTGCATGAACCATACTGTCTTCCATTTTCATAGGATCACTCCCAGGTAATAAAACAGCAAGATAGGTATGCTTTAATAGAGTTATGATGGCTTCTCCTCTCTTTGTACATCTTCTTTAAATCGGAGCGACTTGTTCCACTCGTCTGCCTCCTGAGCAGGCACACTATTGCCTATATTCAGGGAAACCTGTGTGGGAGATTTCATGCTGATACAGCTGCATTGGCGTTTAATACTGTAATAGCACAGGTCTCGGAGTCCCATCAATAAGTTATTCATGCCATTAATAGACCTGTATGGCTCGATGGGAGGCTTCATTAGAAACCTGAGATTGGAATTGATTGTTCTGTAATGCCCAGAGAAACAACAGGATACAGTAAAGCTCCAGGAGATTAAAGCCGCTCCCAGAGAACATTAAGAAGAACAGGAGTGTGCAAAGAAACCAGTGCAGTACTAGTACTTGCTTATCTTATTTAAAGGTACTATATATGCAAACATGTGGAAAATGCAAACCGACTATGTAAAGTACCACCTGACAGAAACTACTGTCAGCAGGCTGTGCTTTGCATTTACTTCATCAGTATTTCTTGAGAAACTTGATGGAAATCAAACCTCAGCATCTGGCTTACTCATTCAAGTAATTAGTAATGTGTAATTCAGCGTGACCTGGCATTAATAACGCAGGATGAAGAATGAACAAGGTTAGTTTTTACAGCTACAATTCCCCAGACATAGCCTATACTTTCTTAACATCTCACCTATGCACTGCACTTTCATAGGAGTTATCCTCATTAATCATGCAATCAATTAAATGTGATCCAAGCCCAGTCTGTAGATTTTCCTGCAACATGATCCATAGTCTCCAGGGAACAGTGTCCTGTCCAGTTAGTTTTGTTCCCTTATATGATGGATTGATTTCCATGGCGCTGTCAGAGCTGCAGCACAGTATGCTGACCGCCGTCCAATATCACATCAAAATCCATTTCATGTCCTTGATTAGATAGGGAGGCAGCAGGATACTCTGCGCTTCCTGTGCTCACTCACTTGGTCGATGATTTGCCCTGATACAATTTGCAGAATCAGAGTTTCCTCCTTTGATACCCATAAATGACCCATCAAATCTTAATGCATTTGAATTTAATATTGTGTCTCCTGAAAGCCCATTTGTCAAGTCAACTTAATTTTATTTATATAGCCCAATATCACAAATCACAAATTTGCCTCAAGGGGCCCTACAATCTGTGCAACATGAGACACCCTCTGTCCTTGGCTGATTGTACCTGTTGAAAAGCAGAGGCAGAAGTCAATGTGTTAGAGCAGCTGGCGGTCTGTCTGCTCATACACAGCCATGAGATGAGACTTTTTGATGGTGCTAAATACAGTACGTCTCAAGCTAATGTCTTTCAGTGTCTTCATGTAAGACATTCTGTTACCACCATATTTCCAGTACTTCTGTCAAAACTCTTAATCAACCTTGTGATATATTATTATGGGTTCAAGTAGGTTTTCCATGGGTCAATTTTACGAACATTCTGGATCATCCACCTACTAGGGCTGCAACTTATTATTTTCATTTTCGATGAATCTATCATTTATATTCTTGATAAATTTATTAGTTGTTCCGACTAGTCAGAAAATGGTAAAAAAAAAGTTGATTAATTTTTTTCCAGAGCCCAAGATTACATCTCCAAATGTCTTGTTTTGTCCACAACCCAAAGATATTCGGTAAATACTGTCAGAGGAGCAAAGAAACCCCAGAAAATATTCACATTGCAAAAGCTGGAATCAGAAGTTTGACTTTTATTGTTTATTGATTATAAAATTAGTGGGGGATCAGTTTCATAGTTGACAGCCAATTGATTAATTGTTGAAGCTTTGTCAGCTAAAATGCAGTTTTATCTTCTTTATTAAACAGTATCGCCGAAAACACAGCAGATAGCAGCGAAGTGCAGCTGGCCGTAATAATTTTGTACATGTCAGATAGAAAGCAATTCACACAGGACTCTGTTTATCAATTGGCTGAGGGTATTCTTTGGCTGCAATTTGCCGCAGATTCAAATGACTGCAGCTTTGCGTAGACATTGCGTGGAAGCTTGCTGCAAGCAGCGATTCGCCACTGCTTGGTGTTTTCTGTGTTTTCATTGCTGATTGATATGCTGATTATTCTCTTGGTTAATCGATTAGTCGTTTGCTCTTAAAAGGAGAAGGGAAGAATCTTCCTATAGGTCTGTAGTTTAACAGAGAGCAGCACTAGATTCCAGGAGTCGCCCATCAATGCTAGGTTTGCATCGAAAACATGTCTCTCTACCTGAAACCTGTCTCAAGGCGCTGTCATACCATCTTCCTCCACCATTGTAAAGTCAGACGTGACAAGGATATGATCTTTCCTTTCTCAGCCTTCCTGAAACCGGAGTGAGCAGCCGGGTGTGACAAGCCACCTGACACCATGTCTCGTTACTGCACAGTTCAGCAGCTATTGTGGATTTCCTTTGTGGGGCAGACACATATCACAGGTGTAGTCTCTGCCCTCGGCCTCCTCCGTCGTGCCAATACGAGAATTCAAGAGAATGAAGCTGCCCACAGCGAAGGCTGAGAGTGGTGTAAGCTCATATTGCGGGTCTAATCCTGTCCGTCCTCTCTGGGGTGGAAGGTCACATTGTTTGCTCCTTCTGCTCTTTGTTATATTACGCTGGCAAGAAATGGAGACCACTGACGGCCTGGGTTGAAGCGGATGACAAACAATAGGATTCCCTGATGAATGCTTTGGGCTTATGTTCCTGTGGGCTGATTGAAAAATCTCAGGTCATTGTGCATCCAGATTATTATCTTATATGACACCGTTATTAAAAGCAAAGTGAAATTCAGTGTGTTTGCCGCTCCAGGATTTGTTTTGCAACTACATCACCTTGCTAAGAAATATTGAGACAGGCAGAAATGTGTCCCTAGGTATGCTATTACTCATCTGGTTACCTGGCAGCAGTATTAGTGTACAGAAGGACAAGTAGAAGCATTATTCACAGTGCTGTGGATGCTTTTCTAACACACTGGCTAATGAAGGTCTCACATTTAATCATTGTAAAACGGAGAGTTTATCCTACAGATATATACAGATGTGGTTTTTTTTACACAATGTGCATGCTTTTTTACGCTCTTATTTACATCCACACTGCTGCTCCTGATTGTAAATGAAAGCGTAAAAATGAGTAAAGCCAATTATTGTTTACATAATTTTGTCTTTCCTATCGTAAATCATGTTGACATTGGCTATGGGCTAAGATATTAAATAGGTCTGGAGACTCTCTGATGTAAAGCCTGGAGTCAGTGGGCACAGGCCTGTGTTTGTGCCAGAGGTAAACAGAGGGGGGCATTAACTCTGGGCTCACCCCTTTTTTTTCTAATTATGTTCAGCCCAATCGCTTGGCAAGGCCTCCGCTCCAAAGCTTTCCGTTTGGTTTCTTCCCGGGTCTCACTGCGCTGCTCTCTGTGCATCTGCTCCTCCCAGCACACAGCTCGTCCAAATCAGACAAACGCTCCGGCGTTTCTCTTCACACGAATCAGGCTGGTGTGCTCTGCCAGGCCTCGTTGTGCCCTTGCCAATCTCTTTGACATGATGAAAACTGGCGTGTCAAATGCATCACGGTGAGGGAAAATGTGGCGCTTGTATGTGATAGACAAGCTGCAATTATCATCAGCTCAGGAAAGCACGCTTGATGTACTCTGGATTGCTTCTATACTCCTATAAACCTATGCATTGATGATATAATGTACTACGAGTTTGATAATTATGACAGCTCTTTGCTGCAGACAGATAATGAGTTGTTATACTGTATGTAGTAGTTAGAGCAGCTGAAAACAACTTAACATTTCTCTGCAAATGTCATTGCAATTGCTGCCGGCTATTGTATCGAACAAATCCCACAAGAAATGAGGCAAAAGAAAAAAGCCATGCCTTAGCATTTTGAATGTACACCCTCTCCGTCTCATTACTGGTCAGCATCCCTCCTGCCCGTTCTACCATTAGCTGTGTCCTCTGCAGATAAATGCTCATGGCCACAGAAATGCAAAGACCCAAATTAAACAGCAAGGTCACTCGCAAAGTCACGGCAGCTTCGGTTTTACATTTAAATGAGCCTCAAGCTGACGGCCTGAAATCCAAAGACTTGTTGTAGTGGGAGATGAAATGTACACTATAGCTGACTATGGGCGGGCAGGTATTCACTGTTGGTATTGAAAGATTTGGAAACTTTCTCTTGCTGAGTTTATCACAGATAGACCCTGAGCTGGGAGAAGCCAGAGGCCAGTTAGAAGTGGCAATGAGATCATTTTTACAGCCCCGTTGATTTTTTTTCTTCTTCTGAATTTCATGCTGAATTTGGGTCAGATATTTGGTTCTGACTCCACAGTGCACTTGACAGATTTTACTTACTCCAGTTTTTGTGGGGAATTAAAAAAATAAATCACAATCACCCCGCTAATCTGATTCACATTCTTACACTCAGATTTGAAGAAGACCCTGGCAGTGCTGCTGGATAACATCATGCTGAGGCTTGGCAAGCTAGAGTCCAAGGTGGAAAACATCTACAACGGCACGGGGGGCAACCTAACCAACGGCACCAGCACTGCAACACCCAGCGGCACAAACTCAGAGAAAGTAAACGTGGCAGGTATGTGTTCAGTTTTATGTTTTGTTTTTGAATCATCTGGAGTGTTGGTGTGCATGTTGTGGGGAGGTGGTGAGGAAGGAAAGCTGGAAGGATTTGTCTTAAGGCTGGATTTGTACACATCTTCAATAAAGGCTCTCTTCCCAAAGGATTGGAGCTCTAAGAGAAAACTCTCCAGACTCATCCTCTCCGAATAAGTTGGCTTCAGAAAGTAATTATTCGCATGAACTGTGACTCATGTAAGGGTGAGTTTCTTTTTCCAGAGAGCCCCTGTTGTTCAGGGTGTGAATGCACAGTAAAAATACAGTAGCTGCGGCCAAATTTAAGAAACGAGGATAAGCTGATTGTGGCTGTTTTCTATGACCCGTGTTTCATTTCAAAAAATTTCCATAGTGCATAACATTCCCGAGGCATACAAGCAGCTAAACTCTGCCAGTGTTGCACAGTGCACACCAGGCACTTTTATAGGACCAGACCGCATCCTTGGACATAATTCAAATAAGGCCTCCGTTCACGCTGCATGACCCTTTTATTAGTTTTCATTGATTTTCCTGCCAGCTTTCAGATGATGAATTCAGCCCAGTTGAGAGAGCGAGGTGTTGGTTTTTCAGGGATCCTGGGACTTGCTCTGAGTTGTTTGCGCAGCAATAAACAGTAGCAATGTGGAATCTGTTCTCAGAGGCAATGTATGTAGAATTGTATCAGTCTGATTGTTCAAAGTCACATTTGAATGGATCTAATCCTAATGACAGCTACTGCACTGCCATCTCTTATCAGATGTTGACAGTGCCTCGTTAACTTTCTCTTTCAAGACGTTGAGGCAGTAAGTTAGGCAAATTATCAGACATGAGCATCATATGAAAGTGATCATTATCAGGACATTTGATGTCAGAACTAGCACTCTGACTGTCGTGATTAGTCAGAATGAAAATCTGTCGTCCTTGTTCCTGTGTTTAATCTTCCTATAAACAACAACACAAATGTCACAATCTTTCGAAGTATCTGCAACACCTATAGTGTAGAGTCTTTCTTGTTTCATACGGGCGACGCTGTAACAATCGTGTAGTCTGGTTTACTTTCTCTTTGGATCCTGAAAGTGCTCGTCTCTTCTCCTGACATAAATGTTTGAGATAAATTAGCTTCTAAATGTGAACTGAATATGTTTGTGTTTTGGACTGTTTGTCAGACAAAACAAGATATCTGAAGATGTCCCTTTGGACTGTAGCCCTTTTCCCACTGGACAAAAAACCCCCACTAACAGCCATTCTGTTAGTTATTTAGTCTCTCTTTCAAACTTGACAAACCTTAACATTTTCACTGGCCTCCATGTTGCTCTCTGTTGTTTACTGGAGCCTTCATGACATTGAACTTGACAAACCAGTACAACAACCGGCATTGGTCTTCTGGCATGGGAAAGAATGCTATTGCCTGGATTTTTGTATTACTATGGTGAGAAAAGCAATGTATTACCACGTATCACCACCCCTAGCCATGACCTCATGTTGCGGTTATCATCAAAGCCCTATTGTAAGATAAGGTTTTATGAGAGTACATAATTAAACAACACAACAACTGAGTAGTTGAGACTCTTAAGCCCCTTTCCCACTGTACATAAAGAACACATGCACCTGCTAACATCTAGCTTTTGTATTTAATGGCAAAGTTACAATCGGCGTTCAATCCCAGGACAAATGACTGCAGTATTTACAGGTATTCATTCGCTCCAGATCCGATTGGCTGTGATCATCAGTGATAGAAATACCCAAGGGATGCGCTTATTTGTTGGTGTGATGCAGTGATGGGCTGAGAGTTTGAGAGAGAGATGAAACAAGTGCGAGTTAGAAGAAAGAAGTAGCCAGAGAAAATGTTTCTACTGTTTACTCACCCTGTTTTCCGCCCAGTCTGTAATGTTGAGTGTGACGCACCAGGATATGACAAAAACCAAAACAGAAAGGCATACTCGTCTACTGGCAATGGGAGTCAATCAGCTATTTTTAATGGGTTTTCATGCGTTTAAACAACCTTCATACATGTGCTAATTTTGGCAGGAAAAGGACTTTGTAGTATGAAGTCCTTCTAGAAATGACAGTGACTTTGGCAGTCTAGCTGCATGGCTCCTCAGGCAGTGTGTGCAGGAGCTGCTTTTCTGTCTGGTCTCAATCTGGCCATTGTAGACACTAGAGATGAGACACTAATCTCACACTATTGTCGGGGCAGTCTTGGCTTGAACCTCTGTGCTGCGGAGCGATACTACCTGGACCTGTGACACATGTCAATATAACTGCAGTGTCCTGTTCACTTAAAACTTCCAGCAGTACCCTTGAGAGACAACATTTGGATCCTGAATGCAGGTCAAGCTGACAAAGCGGCAACTACATCTCTCTTGGCAACGAACTAAAGGGCCCAACACTCCAGAGTCTCCATTGGAGCATGTCTCCTGTCTTGGAGTGGGTGGCAGGCAGTGCCACTGCCAACTCCTCTAGTGCTCCTCCCTGACTGGAAGGCAATTACAGAGATAAGAATCTGGACAGTGAGGGGAACACGCCTGGCTTTCAGAGAGGCCTCTATCAAGATGGAGCTGAGTAGCAGCCCTGGGACTGCACTGTTTCCACCTTGATTGTATAAATTTTCTTAGCCAAGGACTCTGGCATGCTCAGGACCAAACCTGGGTCTTTTCAGTATTCACAGTTTATTCCTGGCTTTTATTTTTTCTGGCTTTTAACAGATTTTTGGAAAATTTGGCAAGAAAATTTAAATCAATGCACATTTCCATCTACTGCTTTTTTTTTTAAACTCAACATCAGTTCCACTTTTTCAATGCACAAATTGAAATTTTGCATTCGAAACAGGTTGATGGATATGCGCTTTCTGTAGGGTAGAGTAGTGACATCTGGAGGTTAACACCATCACACCTGCACTGCACAGCTGTTATGAAACATGTACTTGTCTTTCAACTGATACCTCCAAAAGAATTGTGAAACTTTCAGATATGTTTCCACCGGATGAACAGCTATGATTCAGGAAATGCTAGTTAATTCGAGGTCTTCCAAAGTTAATGAAAACATGCAAATGCGATAACGTTGATGAATATTGCAGTAACATTATACTTGTTATAAACGGATATTAAAGCACTCAGTACTTTGGTCTTGAAGGGCTGCAGTTTGAGCCCTGGTTAATTCACGTGAATACTTGTTAAATCAGACATTTTTTGTTACAGAAACCCACAAATACATGAAAAACTTTCCATTTATGCAAAAAGAAATCACATTATCTGCACTGTTAGGGGAACCATGCTAGCTCTCTGAAATCCCACATTGCACAAACATGGTTGAGGCTATTTTGAAAGGAAAACATTAACAAATGCCCCAAATGTTTAGGGACTCATCGCAAAGCCTCTGATGATTTACTTACGGTGCTGAAAGTACATTTTGCAAAACTACAAAAGTTGTAGATCATGCATTGAATATCCTCTGATTGTAGCTTGTAGATTCAGGAAGTCCACAACAAAGCACAACTTTCCCTCTGCTACTTTACTGCTGCTGTTGTGACCTAACAGCTGTGCACAGACTGTGGGACAAAGCTTCTTTCTTGCGATTGTCATCTCACAAAAATGCGGCCTTCTCTCATTGCTTTACAGTCACACTCTATTGTGTGTGCTGTAAAAACTGCATTGGCACTTTGAGATAATAAAAGGTGTGAACATTTCACGTTTTTATTTGCTGTGATGAACGCTCTGTCCATGTGCAGGAATAGCTTCGGCCTTGTGTGCTGTTGCATTTCGCCAAGGACAACAGGCACAGAAGCCCCTTATAGGCTCAAAACATGTCGATCTGGCCTTGTTGCTGCTTAGCAGGAGGCAGATGGGACTGGGTCCAATAGCCGTCTGTGATGCCTTGTCTTGCCATGTCTCGCTGATGTGGCTAATCAACCTCCCCAGCAGTGTTTCATCCGTGGCGTGGAAATGTAATCTCCTCCTACACACACAAACAGCCAGGCGTAGAGACAGATGTAATGAAGGGTCAGTTGCTTACTCTCCTCTTTGTCCATTTTGTCTTCTCTACGATATATTTTTAAGTTATCTATGTCTCTTACAGCTCAGCCACACTGTTAGTGACGTGACGTGTCTTTGTGGCATGGTTCTCTTTTTTTGGTAAACAGAAACCGGTGCTTTCACAGCTTTGGGCATCTTCACTGCTTTGTCTCTTTCAGCCATCGATCAACTTGCATCTCTGTTTGCCATTCACAGTGAAACATGAGATCCAAGGTCTCAATGTCAACAAAGGAAAAGGACAAGGACAGGGTTTCTGTTGGGGATTACACGTGTCCTGGTTACATCATGATTGTATCGCTCCCTGCACTTTATTTTAAACATTCAGCTGATGTCCTTACAGCATCCAACTTAAAGGGGGGCGAGAAGGTCAATTTCAGCGCCACACTCAAGGATTCTTTTTCTGTAAAACCTGAAAAATTGAAACTATGAACAATCACCATTTTAATACAGAAAGCATCTTGTGGGACTCTCCTAGAGCAGGAGCTGTGGTCTCTATTATGTTCAGGGAGGCCTGTTTTCTTCTTCGGTGTACAGATCAATACTAATAAAGTACACACAAACCCACTCAGTGCAAATAAGTTGCTGAGAGATGCTGTCCGCTCCCACACACTTTCAAACACTTGCATGAATCCTGACACTCATCACCGTACAGTTAAAATTCCACAGCAGCATAATTGAATGCAGAAATCAAGTGTTTTAGCAATGCTAATTTATACTTTGTGTTGCTTTATTTTCACCTTTGTTGGTGTTTTTGTACTGCAGGTTGTAGCAACAAACTACTGGAAAGAAAAAAAAGCACTGTGACGCAGTGAGTTAAAATCTGCAGTGATGCAGAAAATCTCACATCTCGTTTGAGGCACAGTCAAAGATGAGCCCGTAATGAGAGTGAGCAGAACTGAATCTTGATGCCTTTTGATGTAGAGATCTTGAGAGGAAGTGTATTTCTGCTCCA